ATAATAGCAACGAATGGACAAAATTTATTGTCTCATTGTAACCAAATAGGACCTAGAGGGTGACGATGAAGAAGTCGGGATGAAATAGAAGGAGGAATCGAAAAAGGGAGGAAAACATGGGTGCTTTTGATGGCGAAAGTGAACACAATAATAAAGAAACTATGAAGGATAATTCGTACGAATCTGACGTGAAGTTGGAAGATGAAAATGAAGATCAGTCCACACCTACATTCAAATACAAAGAATCCGGTACACACCTCAAGACAGAGAGATAAGTTCTCATACTTTTGTTCGGAGAAGTCACAGAACAACGAAGGTTATAAAACCTTTTCATTTCGGGAACGTGTAGTAATATAGACAAAATGAATTTTGAATAGTCCAGTGACTGTTATAAGTTGATTATTCGTCAGTAGGTGGAAAATGTCTACGTCACAGACTAGAAGACATGCCAACAGAAAGATATGTCAAAACCTTTTTTTGTAAAGTCCTAGAATAGGGATAATCAGTGTCTAACGCTATGTTAACAACATTTTATATAAATGCAGACCTTTCTGTGAATGTGAGTTTAAAATTATTTTTCTTTTATTTCGAAAGAGTTGTATAACATACGCATATCTAAAGAAAAAGAAAGAAATAACTTATTAAACTGTGTTCATTGTCTAAAACTCTTCGGCACAATAATAAATTTCATTTTATTCATTGTTTTAAATTATGTATTGCTTCTATTTTTATATTTTAAATTTATTTTCATTTGTTAAAATAAAGTTTTTTTTTCTTCAAATCATATCAAACATTAAGCCATCTATACATTTTTCTCCTTTATTTTTTTAATTATCTATTTTTTTATTGTTTCCAGCATGTCGGGAATGTAAGTAAACATATATTCATATTTTGATGAAAAATGATCTATAATGTTTTCTTTAATGTGTATTCCGATAAGTAACGTATTAAAAATCTTTGTGAATGGATGGCAAAACATGGACAAAAAGCAAAGGTCAAGAGTCAAAAGTTCACGGAAACAAAACAAAAACAAAATACGACGTTGTGGAGGATAATGATCGTCCATATACTGAAGGGCCATTGAGCAAAAAGAAGATATAAAACAATAAATGATATGACGCTTTATGGAAGTTGAAGACATTATTTATAAACGTTATTAAGATTTCGGATAACTGATCGAAACGGCAAAGGATCGGACGCTTGATGCTTGGAAGATGTCGGCATTGTTTATAAATGTTAAGATTCAGAGTAACTAAACAAGACAACAACTAATGAAAGACGAGGACATCATTTATATGTGCCATTAAGAGCTTAAATATAATGGGAAAAATTGAAATTACCATTAAAAAACAAGATGGAAGCTCTGAAATTTAATCGTTTGCGATTCAAGTATATTAGCTTGTTTAAAAAGTATTGTCTTATTCTGGGGAAGTTAATTTAAAGCTTTTAAAATGTTAAAAAAAAAAATATATTTGTTATCATGTTGGCCATCATGATTTGCAATATCAAATATTTCCTGAGACACGTTAAAATGATATTCCTTGTTGAAAGAATCTAAATATTCTTATATAAGAATTCTGATAATACTGCATTGATATCATTAAAACTTCTAAAGGTTTTGCTTCTGAGAATATGTTTATTTGATGTAAATTAAATGAAAAGCTGGGTGCGTTTAGTCTGTTAAGTCAGAAGGTTGGCGTAAAATAAATAAGTGACTGTGCACACTCATTTCAATTTCCTCGATCGACCTTTGAATATCGAATAACGAAAACTGGCCAGACTTTTTTTTTTCTTTTCGATCTAAGGATTACATTTTTAGCTTTTTTCACTTTTTGTTTTAATATCTATAATTAAATTAACAAATTATTATCACAGAGTAATTACCTCTGTCCCTGATCTTTTTTTCATTACTGAAGACGACATTAACATTTTCTTTTGACAAAATCAAGACATATTCACTTAAATATTGTAACCTTCACACTTGGAGAGTACAGATATACCTTGTTTCTTGAGCTCAAAATAACCGACATCATATTACACAGATTCTCCCTTAGATCATGGCGGAGTTTTATTTTAGATGTTGAGAGACTTTTCGTTCGTAATTTTAGATTCATTCGAAAAGAAATAGAACTTGACAGACAGTTCTAATTACAATTTTTTTAAATATACAGGATATCCAAAAAGTTTCACCCTATGTTTATTTATTTTTTATTTTATTATATTATTGCAGTTTTTATTCTATTGCAGTTTGGTCTTCGAGGCTTCAGGAACATGGCTTTTAGACTGAATCAGCGAAGAAACTTGTATATTAATTTTTAACTATTATAATATATACATATGTTTTTTCTATTATATATATATATATATATATATATATGTGTGTGTGTGTGTGTGTACGTGTGTGTTATATAATGTTATTTACTGTTCTATTGATGTGACTATAATTGAAAGTTGAGTAAATCGGAGAGCTGAGTTCGAATTCCAGTAGGTTTCGTTTCATTCCCTTTAGCGCAGGTGTTCTTGGGAAAGGCATGAACCCATCTCTTTTCCTCTCAGTTATGGGTTGAATATCAGGACATACTGCATCCTATAGCTTTGGTTGGCAACCAGTCTACCACAGAAAGAAACGGCAACCTACTGCCGGAAAATCTCCCTCAGCAGTGATGAATCGAAAGAGACATGATCGCTAAGCGTGTACCACGTATGACACTTAACTAACTGATCGACATGAATAAGATTTACGACTAAATTAAGTTTGCTGATAACTTAAGACCTTCTTTTATCATCACTAAACTATAGACATATTGTTTTATTTTCGTAATTTATTTCTGAACAGTGTCTTTTTGCCCGCCCTATATAACCATTGTAAATATTTAAAAGCCGATAGACAATAAGCAATAAGCTAGAATTGTACTGAGGTTTGAAAATTTCTACATAGAAACTAAGGCGTTCCATAGAGTTTGGTATGCTGGCCTTCTCCACAAGCTCACTAGCTAGGGTATCAATGGACGAATTCTTTCATACAAATCGTGTAATGTAGATCGTGTTGAACGGACACACTTATAGTTGATTTCAATTTAATACAGAGGTCTCGCATAGCTTTATCCTTGGACCTATGTTGTTTTTTAACCTCATCAATGCGGACCCTGATGTCATGAGTTCCCAATTGAGAATTTATGCTGATGACACATTTATTCCTGTTTTAGTTGCAAGTCCGACAGGCCTGACAAAGTAAAACTGGAAACTGCTCACGGAGAGGGCCTCCAATCAATGGTTAACTGGGGCAAGTAATGGCTTCTAAATTTTAACACCTTCAAAACAAAACTGCTTTCATTTAATAACCATACGGAATCTTTTATGTCTGCCATCAGCATGGCTAATTCTAACCTTCAGAAGAGCAACGCTTTGAGCTTTCTTGTGCTCACGCTTTCCCCTGATCTGAAGTGGTAAGTTTAATGCTATGACAGTTGGTTCACTGTATCTTAGCAGACAATTATTTCCCCATCAGAATCAATCATGCACATTTATAAATCTAACCATTCCCCCGTGCATTGACTACTGCTGCCATATCTGGTCTGTGCTTCTAATAAAAAATAACTTTTACAAACAATTGAGTATCTTGGAATAGTAAAGTTTGGACCATTTGAAGCTTGTATGGAAACATTTTAAATCCAGTTCTGGCGATGCCAAGTTCAGCAGAGTGACGACGGGTAGAATCTGATGGATCCTCAAGGACACTTTTTCCTACAGCTTCTATAGCAGCACCAATGCGCACAGTGAGATTAGGTTCCTAGTCATGTTATCTCTAGGAAATACTCTGACATTAAAATGTTGCCGGTGTTTCTGATTTTGAATAATTGATCTTTCATTGGAATATGATGAGATTTGCTCGTTGCTGGACATCATACGTAGCCATTTTAATCTCCAAGAGATGCCTTATAATCCGTATCCATTTTAATCTCCAAGAGATGCCTTATAATCCGTAGCCATTTTAATCTCCAAGGGATGCTTTATAATCCGTAGCCATTTTAATCTCCAAGAGATGCTTTATAATCTGTAGCCATTTTAATCTCCAAAGGATGCTTTATAATCCGTAGCCATTTTAATCTCCAAGAGATTCTTTATAATCTGTAGCCATTTTAATCTCCAAGTGATGTTATATAAACTGCAATATAAATAAATAAATAAAATGTTTGAAAAGCGAACAAGTTATGACTTTAGTATTTCAGTGGCTATCCTATATAAGAAACCCAATTGAGGAAGAGTCTTAGGAAGTGTTACTATCGTGAAAATTGTTTCGAATATTACGAATGGGTCATTCGCTATACGGAGTCTCAAGATATGCGTGATGATGTACGGTAAGGTAACGAATAGCTGATCGGAAAGGGAAACAGGCGACCTGAGTTCGATTTCAGACCGAGTTGGTTGCACTCACTTTCGCACAAATACACTTGGAGAAATAATGGCTCCATCTCTTTTCGCTGTGCAATAGGCTAAATGGAAGAACAGACTGGGTTCTTTAGCCGTGGTTGGTAACTAATCTAGGAAAAGAACAAGCCTAAATTCAAACCGCGCGTAGACCTGGCAAGGCGTATAAAATACATTGAAAACATTAAGAAGTTTTCATATGATCCCCGACGTTTATGTCGAGACTGGCCAGTACTTAGATGGGTAACCCTTTGGGAATTCCAGGTGTTGTAAGCTTGGATGTGGGTGTAGTGTGATGAATAATAGCCCGGAATTGCTAATCTGAGAGCCGGGTTCGAAATCCAGTTAGATTCGTTATATTCACTTACGCACAAATAACCTTGGGAAATATATGAATCCATCTCTTCTCCCTGCAGCTATGGGTTAATTAGTAAGTCATGCATAATTAAATCGTTATTATCTCCATAAAATAAAAATTCTTAAAATCTAAAATCAGTTTCTGGCTTTAAATTATCCGCAAAGGGTTGATATGCCGTAGCAAGCGAATCGATCAACCAATCAACTGAGCTTGCTTACGGCCACCCCACGCTGAAAGACCAGCTCTCGTACGATCACCGGTTAAGCAAAGTCAAGCCTGATCAGTACCTAGATGGGTGACCGCTTGGGAATATCACTTGCTGTAAAATCGGACGTGCGGGAGGTGTAATGAATATAATGGCTCGAAATTGTTAATCGCAGAGTCAAATTCCAACTTCCGTTGATTTCATTATATTCACTTTCGTTTCGTGCTAATAGCCCTGTAAAAGGTAGGAATCAATCTGTTCTACCCCCAGCTATGGGTTAATTAGCATGATTTGTATCACTAAACTATTATTATCCCTTTCTCCAATTCTTACAATCTAAATATATTTTCTGGCTTTAAATTAGCTGTAAAGTTGATAAACAGTAAAAAATGAATCAATCAACTGATCTATTTAAAGAAGGCATGGTTGAGTGCACTCGTTAGACAGAATCATGTCAATGATAATAAAGATAAAAACGAACAACCAATTTTATTCGGAGTTTATATTTCTGATCGTTCAAATTTATGATATTGACTTACCAACATAAACTATAGACAAAATCTTTGATGCATATAACCTTATACATTAATCATCCAATCATGAATCATCTTTTATAGTTTTCAATGGCTTATCCAATTTTTTTTAAATAGCACCCGTTTGTCTACATCCGTTTATTTGATGTATATGGCTACATGATTCAAGGGAATAGAGAGCATTACATTTGGAGCTGGCTTGGCTGCAGGAGTTACCGTAAAATAGTCAGTGTTAGCAGCCAACCGCCTTCGGGGCTGTACTCCGGGTTTTCTGTCTGGATTTACGTCCAGAGCCTTTTCGGTGTTTGGATATGACCGCAAGACAACGAAAGCTAAAAAATAGTTTTCCTTCCTTTGGACAGAGTTTATTTTTAATCACTTGACCCCAAATAAGGCAACACAGTCACTAAGATACAAAGGGTTTACTGAATGTTAGAGAATATGAGAAAAACTACTATTAAGAAGAGTGGACAATAAAAGTACAAGAAGCTTAAAATTAGTTTTCCTTCCTCTAGATAGACTTTCTTTTTAATCATTTGACCCCAAGCAAGGCAATACAGCCACTAAGATTCAAAGGGTTAACTGAATGTTAGAGAATATGAGAAAAACTACTATTAAGAAGAGAGGGCAATAAAAGAACAAGAATTAAGAAGACAGAAAATAAAAATTTACTACTTTCCTGAGCTGTCGAGCTTCATCTGCCTGATTTTTGTTTAGATAAATTGTATAATATTAATCATCAAACAAGGATTTCGGTTTTAATTTCCTGAATTTCTTCAGGAATTTATTTTTTAAATCTTGGATGTGCGGTGGTGTAATGAATAATGGCTCTGAATTGTTAATCAGTTCCACTTAACAGTTCGGTTGTTTATATTCACTTACGCGCAGATACCCATGAGATTACTTCTTCCACCCAGCTATGGGTTAATTATTAAGAGGTTTAACACTAAACCATTATTATTCACTTCCCTCCCTCCCCCAAAAAATTACAATCTAAAAATACTTTCGAGCTTTAAATAAGCCGCAAGGCGTTGATAACCCGTAGAAAACGAATCAATCATTCAATCATGATACTTACCTGCTACTTCCTTCTATTACATAACACATATCTCATAGAATAACCCTCTACCCTGAGTGACTCTTGAGTCTTGTATTGGGTGGATATTAGTAACAGTAAGTGAGAAAAACAACTGACAGAAAACTCCCGAGCCATCTTCATGACAGTTTGCTACGTAGCATTTACAAGAGGAGAACGGGCGTTGTTACGCACCAGCGATCACCACAAAATGACTTTTCGATTCGCAGTCATCCTTCTAAGAAGGCAGTACAACAACATTGCTTGATTGATTAGTTTTCTACGGCTTGTTAACCCATTCAGTACAATAACAGTTTGTTTGGATTTCATGAAGAGGTTATAAAATAATTTCTCTTGAATCCAACCATAGATAGAAAAAGAAATTCTTCTATTGTCCTCATCTTTATCGCCATATTTATTACGACCTTTTGGCCGTTGTACGCTCTAGCCTTCTTCAGGCGGTTGGAATGACGAACTGAAACCTTTATTTCGCTCACTGACTTAACTGGGTATCGAAATCATACTCTTTGGGTCCTGTCACTGGATATAACCAACGCCTTTATCCACTGTGCTGGTGCCCTTGGTGACTTCTGGGTATGAATTTCTGGGTATTATAAACCTAATGTCTTCAGCAACCATTTTTACCAGTGCTCGTATTGCAATTTTGCTGTTATCAAGTCATGTTTTTACCAGAGCTCATACTGCAAATTTTTTGGTTATTATCGCTTTTCTCTGGCACTCTTTATTACTGGTTCCCATATTGTATTCATTTCTACGCTTGGTCGGCTCAGGAGACTTTTGTGGCCTAGCATATGTGCTGATTCCTTAAGTTTACGAATTTCCCAATGGTGTTCCTTGTCAATGATCTCAACATGATCCCACAAAGGGCGGTGATCTCCCTTCTCTCTCCATATGTGGTCATTCACACCTGATTTTTCTACTCCCCCTCGTGTTAGGGCTTTCTGGTGTTCTTGAAGACTTACCTTGAGGGGGCAGCCTGTCTCCTATTTATATTTCTTTCTGCAGCTGCCCGGAATAGCGTACACACAGTCTGTGGTAATGTTCTCCTCTATGGGATGGGGTCTTACTCGGGAGATATATCTGCGAAGTGTCGTCAAGCTTTTGAAGGTTGTCCTGATGTTATATGGACTGCAGATCCTTTATATTTTCTCTGATAACCCCTTCACATAAGGCAGACAGACTGTTTTCTGAGTGTAGTCCTCCTCTTGTACCCGCCTATCCCAATTTTGGGGCTGCTGCCATGTACCCAGGGTAGTTGTTACGTTGGAGGGTACTTCTTATACTGACCAATTGTTTATCTAATGTCTTTGGGTCGCCACTTATGACTTTTGCTCGGTGTTGTAAGCAGCGGACGATCCCTTTCTTTACGCTGTATGGATGGTGGGAGTTGAAATTGAGGTAATGTCCAGTGAATGTCGGTTTACTGTATACGGATGTCTTGAACCCATGCTCTGTTCGAGATATTAGAACATCCAGGAATGGGAGTATGTTGTTACTCTCTTTCTCCATTGTGAACTGTATTGAAGGTCTTATTGAGTTCACATGGTCCAGTAGAACCTGAACATCTTCCTGGTGTAGCCAGAGTATGAAGGCGTTATTTACGTACCTTAACCATAGAGTTGGCTTTAGAGATATAGATTCTAATGCCATTTCCTCAAAGGATTCCATGTATATATTCGTCATTGCTGATGATAATCTGAGATGAGGTATTATGGTGGTTGGAATGTCGAACTGAACCAACCACCTGAAGAAGGCCGGAGCGTACCACGGCCAAAACGTTGTAATAATTATGGCGACAAAGATGAGGACAATAGTCCGAATAATGTAAATAGTGTACATAATACCTCATCTCAGAAACATAGACAGATACATTGTATTTAGTTTGCTATTTTGAATGCTGTCATGGATCGTTATCTTCAAGATTTTGGATTCTTGTAATAAATCAATTCTCCATTGTCATAGACTCTATTGTCCAAAAATGTGTGGGTTTTGTGTCGGGCAAGAAAAGAATGGCAAAAGGTCAGCAATGTTTCTATAGATTTATGTGAAAGCTTCTGATCTTTTCCTCGGGTTTGTAGACGACAGATTACCTTTGACTCATCGCACAATTAATACATCAATCATATATTTAAGATGACCTTAATATTTTGAAAAAGATGGCACTGAGAAAACTTGCATCATCCTATTACGATCTATCCTGTAATTATCCGATCGTTTAACAAAAATCCTATCAAGATCAATGATGACTTAGTCAGCTTCAATGCCGTTACCTTTAGACATCGCACACTTATCTTTCTCAATTTTCAAAACAGTATGTAAAATTTCCTTTCGGGATCACCATCAACTGTCTTGTTAGGTTCTCTTTAATCTCGTCCAATGGCGCTTCAACGGTAATTTCAAAGGCAAATTTGTAGGGTAACAAATTTTGACAACGAATGGGGAAGAATTTATCAAACCTTTTGTAAAAATAGAAAAGAAAAAAAAAAGAAAGTGTTGGGGACATGTAGTATCTATTCTGGAAGCCATTGCAAAAACGACACTCAATAACATCTTGCTGGGGGAACGATACCACTGATGAAAATAATCTTCGCGCATGCGAAGTAAAGTTACTTCTGTTTGATCACCAAGTTATATAAAGGCGCCAGAGAAGGTTCTTTAAATATTCTCAAAACGTCAAGACACTTCCCGGATACAACATGTCTATACGAACTCAAATTGTAGATTTTACACATCGATAATTGATTAACAAATATTATCTCATTATATCGTTATTAAGTTCTATCCAGGCGAGGTGTTCCACAATATTTCCTTGCTTTAAAATATATCCTACGCCATTTAATGTTGAGCAGTCGTTAGCAAGGTGGCTCAATAAAATCAGCATGGAGAAGGTAAAGGAAACCATTCCACTATCAATCTCAATAACATTCATGACACTCATTTATGAATAGCACGGTGCCAGTGATTAAACTCAGTTGAGTTTCACACACACACACACACACACACACACACACACACACACACACACACACACACACACACACACACACACACACATATATTAAAATAGAAGTAAAAATGTTCAGTACTAATCGAGTTTCGTAATTTTTCAATCACTCGTTGGGTCCCTGTATTATCAAAAATACTGTTAAATTTTATATACTTATACTTATGTTATTCGCTAGTATTAATAGTTAGCATTTTTATTTTTTGTCATACATATAGTAAACTATAGAATCCAAATTTACCTCATATGGTGTATAGATCTCTTTCAACGTTTGAAAGGTTGATTTCATCAAATGCGATTTTAATGCACTATACAGACCGTGAGTCTGTATAGTGAATTATTAAGAATATATATATATATATATATATATATATATATATATATATACAGAGTTAACCCAATATAAGAGAAACCCGGATATAAGAGATTTTTAAGGTCCCAAATTAGAGCCTGTGTTAATGTATATAAAATAGACCAAACCCTGAT